AAACATTTTTTTGTTTAAATCTTTTGTTCAATTAAAATTAAAGATTTTTTTAACTATATAAAAAATGATAAAAGTTTAAATTTTTTTGGTTATACACATAAACAAAACGTCATATTTTTTTAAAAAACAAAAAGTCATATTTTTTTAAATTCGTCGTTTGAAACAGGAATACAAAAACATAATAATTACGTCAACAATGTTTTTTTATGTTAAATAATGTCTTCAAACAAAATGTCAAAAAAAAAATATTTTTAAAAATCATAAAAACAAAGGTAAATAAATAAAATAAAAAAACAAGATTAATAAAAGAAAAAACAAATAAATTAGTATATATTAAAAGAAAATAAAAAAACATAATCATTAGTTATTTAAGGAAAAAAATGTAATTATTAAAATGTAGGGTTAAGTGGAAAGAGATAGGAATAATTGCAGCCTAAATTATAACCCGTTTAAGATTTGGGTGATGCTAATAAGACACCTTTTAGACACTCTATTAACCACTTTATAAAAAGTCAACCTATAATTAACTACATATAATTAGTTTTTTTTTTGGAAAACAATGTAATTTCAATCAATAAAAATATTTCAACATTCAATTAGGGTGTCTAATCGGTAAAATGGGGTGTCTTTTTAGCCAACTCCTTAAGATTTTTGTAGAGAAATCGGAATTCAATGTCAATTATGATCATTTCATCTTTTTTTCAACGTCATTTAGTCAAATTTGGTATACATGAGACCAATTGCAAAGTTGTCTCTCCTTTTTTTGATAGTTCACCAACTCTTAATCTAGCAACGTACATCATATTTGTATCTTTAAATAACCAATATAGTATCCCAATTTATGAACCGAACCTATGCCATAATTATATTAAATAGGATACAACTTTAAAGACAAAGACATGATGTACAACCCAGAAAAAGGTACAACTTCCATTGCACGAGGTACAAGCCCATAAAGGCAACAAGTAGCAATTACCTCAAACCGGAAAGTGACTCGTCATCGGAGGCGCGAGAAATCGTATCGTTTTGACTATTGCCGCCAACTCCCCGGAACGACTCGCCGGAAACCAACGCCTGAAGAAGCTTCGGAGGCGGTGGAACCGCCACCTCCACCACCCCTTCCAACATCTTCACCACCATTCCCATCGTCGGTCTTGTCGCCTCTTCATCTTGTATACACCAAACCGCCACCAACCCCACTCGCTCTACCTCCTCCACGTCATACTCTCCGGCGAGTCGCTCATCCACAACCGCCGCCACATCCCCCTCCGTTATCCTCCTTGCCGCCCATGGCGGAAAAAACCACTTCTCATTACTCCCACTTTCACCACCACCACCACCACCACCTTCCGGTGGTGGCCCCTCAACATTACGGCGACCACCTAATATCTCCAATAAAGTCATTCCGTAACTATACACGTCAGCTTTGGTGGTTATAGCCACACCGGAGATCCACTCCGGCGCGACATACCCCCATGTGCCTCTCATTGTCGCCAAAACCCGACTGAAATCTCGACCAATTAATTTTGCTAAACCAAAATCTGACACTTTGGCAGAAAAATCTTTATCTAGCAAAATATTTTCCGGTTTAATATCACAATGTATGATACAATTTCTACATTCTTCATGTAGATAAGCAATCCCTCTTGCAGTTCCGATTGCAATTCTGAATCTAGCCTCCCAGTCAAGAGTCCGGCCATTGTTTTTCAGGTAAGAACTCAACGGACCATTTGGCATGTAATCGTATACAAGAAGCCTATGTGATTCTTCAGAGCAGAAGCCTATCAATCTAACGAGATTAACATGTTGGATGTTACCGATTGTACACACCTCTGCACGGAACTCTTTTTCACCGCCACCTGGTCGTTCCAGTCGCTTCACCGCCACCAGGGTGGAGTCTACTTTCCCGCTAAATACTGCCCCAAATCCGCCGTGACCAAGCTGCTCTGAGAAGCCATTGGTGGCGGCGTGGAGCTCTTTATATGTGAACACCTTCAGGTTCGTTACGGGAAAGACGGATTCTTCTTCTAGTTTCTTTCTTTTAATCATCTTCTTCCGTAGAATTATCAAAATGATGATTGCGATTGATGCAATTGCCAGGAAAGAGGTGATTGTGGTTATTAGAATAATCGTTTTCACTCCGATCTTCTTTCTGATGACGCCTTTATGAACTCGAACATTCAATGAATCTTGGATTATACCCAAATCAGAACTCGAATTTCCGAGATTCAGAAGTTTCCCAAAATAATTCTTGCAGGAATTAGTTTTCGGATTGTGTGACAAAGCGATACATGAACAATTACTCAAACACTTTCGTTCACAATCGCTTCTGCTACCTGAAAGTGCTTCGATTTTTTCTGGATCAAATGTCATGTCGCCAATTTCTTCAAACTTATCGTCGATGCTACACGCATCATCGCCGACCCTTCGACACCCAGCGGAAAAATCTCCGGCGCCCCACCCAACACCATCCAATGGTTGAAACCCGTCAAAGCATTTACACGGATTCACCATTGATTTAGCGTTACAAAACCCTAAATCCCCACATAACCCATAAACCCTACACGGGTTCTCTGGTTCCGACCAAAACATGTTCCAAAATTCTGTCTGTGGCGACCATGTGTATTGTTTGATTTTGCCGGAGGAATCGATGTTGAATCGTGTGAGCGGTTTTTGTTGGGTCATTGTTTCTGTGTACCCAAATGTCGCTGTTTCGGTGAAAGGATTTGTGAAATAGAATTTATATATGTACGGAAGAGTCATCTCCGGTACACCGGAGAAAATATTCCCCGTCCAGTTGCCGCTACTCCAATACATTCGATTGTTATCGGCCAAAAGCTCAACCTCGCCGTAATTCGGCGGTCTCAACCGCAACCAATACTTCCCCGGTGCCGGATCGTTTGAGCTTTTCCAACAAGTCAACGTTTGACCGACCGTCAAATTCATCCCCGGCAAAAACGTGTCCGCCGGAAAATCAAAGCTCCGCCATCTAACCACCCCACGAGCATCCATAAGAACCAAATCCCCATCTTCTTGAAGCTTCACATCTCCTTCACCTTCGAAATCTCCATCTGCACTTTCCCAAACGACGTCGCATCGTGAATCTCGATTATCCTTCACCGTCAACTTCCCACCGTCGATCTCAAGAGACGACGCATCCCGGCTACTCAGCGGCGTTTCACGGTTCGCCACCCAAACATAGGTGGGAGTAGGGATTGAAGCGTACCAAATCCCCAAATACCATTTCGATTCTTCGCTCGTGTTGAAGAATCCGAGCACAAAAGTTCTGTTGTCGCTAAGAATAGTGGAGTTTCCGGCGATTAGAACTTTGGAAGAGCTAGGGGTTAAGCAGGATTTTGATGGGGTTGAGCTCGATAACTGTAATGATGTGAACACGAGAAGTAAAATGGTGATTTTGTAAGAAAATCGTGGTTGGTTGTGCGAAGAAGAAGCCATGTTTGAAGTGAAAGCATGTTTTAGTTAAATAACATTTGGATCAATTGAAGCTTTTTTGCAAATTGAACTTCAAAAATGGCAGAATAGAAGATAGTATGTGCTTTGTGTGTGAGAGAGAATGAGAGGTTGGGCTTGTTGTGGAGAAGAAGTTTTAAAGGGCATTTCAGTAATTATAAATTGAAGGTTTTGTATCTTTTCACATTGGCCGTTGCTCTCAGGGTTTTCATTTACATACATGTGATAAAGTTCTAAATTCATATTTCCATCATTTACATGAGTGTCACAGTACAATAAACCAATAATTATAATGGATGGTCACTAGAATGAGAGGTGGACCATTTCTGAGGATATTTTTTTATAAAGAAAATCATGAGATTTGAGTGTAACTTAAATGTTAATTTACTAAGTAATGAAAACTAACATGGATTGAAGCATTATATCATGTGGATGTTGGTTTTATCGAGGATTGATTATATTGAAAATAAATTTGGAAGAAAATGAAATTTGAGTTGTATTAGGATTATAATAATCAATTCCAACTTATAAACTCAATGGAATCGAGGAATCCATGGTGAAATAAGTGGTCTAAGAGTTTATCAAGTTGTTTGTAGGTTCATTAAGAGCTTCTTAACGAATTAGAATTGTTATCCCTAAAGTTAGGAGCTATTAAGAGCATATAGGTCATAGATGGTGTTTAATGTTAAAAGCTTATAAAATGAATAAAACATTTTCATTTGAATTTGAATTTTTTTTTTCTTGTTTTTAGAAGTATTTATACTACCATCACCACCACGACCCCATCCCACCCCACCCTTGAACTTTTCATGTCACCTTCTTTGTCAATGATTTTCATATGTGGTGAACTACCAACGTCGTCACATGCCAGGATAAAGTCAACCCTCACCATCACCATTTTTGTCTCCAACGGGCTGCTACTGGTTGCATACTGCTACAACTAACAAAAAAACATTAAAAGAGAGAGAGAGAGAGAGAGAGAGAGAGAGAGAGAGAGATATCACATTTCCAGGAGAAAGAATGGAAAAAAAGAGTTCGAAGGATGTGAAGATGTTGTCAACGTTGACGTCGACATTGGGGATGGTAGGAAGCGAAGAGTTTCTTTGGAGCTGCCAGGAGCATACATAATTTTATTTTGACAAAATTGCAAAAATGGTCTCTGTGGTATGCAAATTTTTGGGGTTTTAGTCCAAACCCCGAGTTTTTTGGATCCATGGTTCTTTTGGAGTGGTTTGTATGTGGTTTTGGTCCCTGGACTTAACTCCCGTTAAATAGGATCTGTTAGGCCCCCTCATGTGCCTCACACGTGAGGGTAAATTCGTCATTTCATATGTAAGCGACCATTTTTGCATAAACCGTTTTTTTTAACTTAATTGACCTTTACCCCTCATTTACTTTCCCCAACACCTGTTAACTCCCCAACTCCCTCCTTCTTGCTTCTGCTCCATTGAACCTGCAAAAAACCCTCGTTGCTTATCCAAACAAGTTAATCTACGCTACACATACAAGGGCATACGTTTAATACGAAATGGTGTTCGTAATGTGGCATATCAGACCAAAACATGAAGTTGTTGATGTATCAGCCGTGTATGGTAAGTTGCTCTGTTTTCTTTAACTTTCATATTTTGCATTTTCTTATTGATTTAGAACAAAAAAATCAAAATTTTGACTTTGTTAATATGTACAATTTTGATTTTTAGCGGGTGCACCAACATGGTTTAGTATTAAGCTTTATCACGGTGGGAAATTTACTAAGTTACCTGATATAAAGTACATTTGAGGTGAAGTGCGTTATGTTGATTATGTGGACATAGATGAGTTTTTTGTACATGAACTTGATGCCATAATGCTTGACCTAGGTTACCCAAACCCACAGAATTCTGATTGCGCTGATGAATCCCCAATGATATACTACTATTTTAGGATACCCAATGGTGACTTTCAATTTGGTCTTAGAGCTTTAGGGAATGATCAGGATGTGATCAACCTTTCTAAATACATTGCACATAACAAGTTGATTGAGGTGTACACAGAGCATGAGAAGTCAAATTTACTGACTTACTTCATGTCTCCAAATGCAAAGGGTAAAGTTGTCATTGAGGAATTACCGGAAAATGATGATTAAGGGGTTGAAGTTGAGGGTCAAGTTCATGCAAAATCTCCAACGAAAAATATGAACCATGGTAATGATGAGCCTATTGGTGAGTTCATGTCTCTGATTCTTTTTGGGAGTAAGAATGATAGTTTCTCACCAGAGTATACAAGGGGTAGAGTTGGGAATTCCAAAAGAGGTGAAGGTTCTTGTAGCAAGAGGCTTAATTTAGATTATATTGATGAGGGTGTTCACATATCAAAGGAAAAGAATGATTATCAGGATGGTTCAACTGATGTTCAGGAGGCATCAACTTATGTTTATATCGATGGATGGTGTTAGGGAGGCTGCAACTGTTGTTGAAGAGGCATCAACTGTTGTTGAAGGATGCTACAACTGATGGATTTTATGCATAAGAACAATCCTATGTGCTCATACAAACCCTAATGCTTGGATCTAGGTTTC